TCAACAGTTCAAATCCACCAGCCATGCCACAGAGGAAAGATGAGGCTTTCTGCTTCTGCAAAGATTTACAGCCTTGGGAAACCCAATACAGAGTTGTTATGAGTCGGAATCAACTCAATGGCAGGGGGTAGTAGTAGTCTACCTTCTAGTTCATTGTGTAGTGATTGGGCTCTTAAAAGATTGCAATCAGCCATTCATGGCACAACAACTAATCTCTGTTCATCTGAAGGGAAATGTATAGCCTTAAATGTATACAGAGCAGCAAAGAAATTACTTTAGTTATTTTCAATAGTTGATTCTGAAACAATTGAACATTCACAAGAGAAAAAGAGTAAGACTTGATTCTACCTTTCACAATAATTATATCAATTCCAGGTGTGTTGAAATATAAATATGAAATGCAAAACTATTAAGCTTCTAGATGACAATATAGATGAGTATACTAAGGTCTAGGTAGGGAACAATTTCTTTAGCAGGATCTTAAAGACATCAACTATAAAGGAAAAGATGAACAAATCTGACAACATTGAAATTAGCAGCTTCAGTTTAGGAAAATAACACTATTAAGAAAGTGAAAAGAAAACTCAGAAGAAATTTGTAACCCATGTAATTAGCAAATAACTTCCAGTGAAGGGGTACTAATGAAGAGAGGACTTGAGGGTATTTCTGACGTGATTAAATGTTCTACTTATTAACCATATAGTAGATACACAGAAGTATTTACTTTTTGATAATTTATTGAGTTGTACAACAAAGATTTGTATTTTTGCTACGTATGGTATATTATATATAAAAATGATAAACATGTAATTTAAGACTTTTAGTGTGGCATTGTAGGATAAGCACTGGAACACAAAGTCGGTTCAAACTGCAAAGTCGGCAGTTCAAAATCACCAATTGCTCCTCAGAAACCCTATATACGGTCACTATGAGTCAGAACTGACTTCACAGCACTTAACAACAGCAGCAATGCAATTTTTTAAAGAACAGTAATTATGAATTAATTTTCACTAGATAAAGTTAGAAAAAAAAAGCAAAACAGTGACTTACCATAAAGGAAAGGGTTAGCATATGGTGTAAGCAAGTGTTTGGCGGAAATAGTTTCTTGTTTTTTGTTTTTTACTTTTTATTGTGAATTGAGTGAAGGCTTACAGAGCAGGTTATCAGTTTTATATTCAAATCCTATACTCTGCTTCATTACATGGTTGCAATCCCCTCCATACACCAACAGTTAACAGAATTCACCTCTTGTTCACTTTAACTACTGCACTCCTCCTTGTGTCTCCCACTACCTTCATCTTTCCTTTGCTAACCTCTCTCTTATTGTATACTGCCTGCCGTCACCCATGTTAACATGTTCTGTCCTCTACCCCGTGAATAATTTTTCCTCCCTCCAATAGTCATCACAGATTGTTTATCAAAAAACATTTTACATTTTCTCATACAATATTTGTCCTTTGTGATTGACTAATTTCACTCAGCATAATGTCCAAATTCAACCCTGTTGTGAGGTGCTTCAAAGTTTCATCACACACATTTTGTAGTATTTCATCTTCTATATGTACCAAAGTTTAACTATTCTTTTGTTGTCTCCCTCTTTTTGATATGTCTCTTATAGACAGCATAATGAAGGATCTTGTTTTCTTTATCCATTCTGCTCTTTATGTCTCTTGACTGGTATATTTAATCCATTTACATTTATTGTAATTATCAATAGGTATAAATTGATTACTGTTATTTTCCTATGTGTGTGTGTGTGGTGCTGCTGGATTCTTTGTTCCACATAATTTTCTAAGCTGAGTTCATTTTGTTTGTGAGTTTTCTTGTTTAGTTGACTTCATTACACATTGATATCTCTGGTTCCCTATTTTCAGTCTTGTCAATTTGCTTTACTTTAAATACTTCTGTATCTGGATTCATGGAGTATTGGTTTGGTGATGTGGGTTAATGAGCTAGACTGAAAAGTTGATTTGAACCATAAGGTCAGCAGTTCAAGCTCACCAGCTGCTCCTTGGAAACGCTATACAGGGTCACTATGGGTTGGAACCAACTCAATAGCACTTAACAACAACATATATGGATTCAGTTGTGGGTGGTGTTGTCATGTATAGTAATCTCAGGTTGTTGTCTGTTGTTGTGGATTTTCAGTCCCAAGAATGTTCTTTAGTGTTTTTTGTACAGTTGGTCTGTTGTTTCAAACCAACTTTGCAGTCCAGCACATTAACCCACAGTGCCCTACCAGGACCTCAAAGTTGGTCTGATTATTACAAATTCCTTTAACTTGTGTTTATCTTTAAATATCCTAATTTCAACAACATATTTGAGGGACAATTTTGCTGGGTATATGATTTTTGGTTGGAAATTTTTTTTCTTTCAGAGTTTTGTATATGTCGTCCCATTTCCTCCTTGCCTGTATGATTTCTGCTGAGAAATTAGAACTTAGTCTTATTGGTTCTCCTTTGTATGTAACTTTTCATTTTTCCCAAGCTAATCTCAGGATTCTCTGTCGCTGAGTTTGGAAAGTTTACTATGATAGTGTCTTGGTGATTTTTGTGGGGATCTATCCTATTTTGGGTTCATTCAGTTTCTTCTATGGTTATCTTCTGGTCTTACATGATTTTAGGGAAGCTTTCTTCCAATCCTTTGACAATTTTCTTAGGACTTTTTATTGTGTCTTCCTGTTCTGGAATTCAAACCACCCATAAATTATTTCTATTCATTGTATCTCATATAACTCAGGCCTTCTTTAGATTTTTTTTTTTTTTCATTCTTTTTTTTCTAATTGTTTTTCTAGCATACTAGCATTGAGGGATTTATGTTCAAGTTCACTAATTTGGGCTTACATTGCTTCAAATCTTCTCCTTTGCCTTTTTAATGTATTGTCAATTTCTAAAATCTCAGGACAAGTCTTCTGGATTTCTAATTCCAGGTTTTGTAATGTTTTAAAATTTGCACTTATTTTGTCTGTCTGTTCTTGTAGCATTTTCCTGAATTCTTCTAAAAAAATTTTCTGTGTTCACCTCTCTTTCCTTGATCTATCATTATGTTGTTGTTGTTGATAAATGCCGTCCACTTAGTTCCAACTCATAGTGACCCAGTATAAGGTTTTTGAGGACTGACTGTTGAGTTTGAACCACCAACCTGTGATTCAAACTAACCTGGCAGTCATGTACTTATCTTCTATCATCACCAGAAGTTCATCAGTACATTGAAGGCAACTAAATAGCATTCTCTTGAATTCTTTTTCAGTTAGTTCCATTACCTTTTTCCCTCAGAAATGTTTTCTGTCTCTGCATCTTGGTCATTTGTTAGAACCATTCTCTTTTGTTTCTTTGTACATGCTAAAATTGTCTGTTGTCTTCACGGCATTGTCAGGTTGTCATAATTGTCAAAACGAATAGGGCAGTCATTGGACCCAAAGGGGAGAAAGCTGAGGGGTTTCTGCAATTCAAGATGTTCACAAGGTGTTTGTGGAAGGGATGTGGCAGCAAGGTTCCTGACCCTAGTTCCTATTGACCTTGGTATTATCTATGTTCAGGGAATTCAGTCTGGAAGTAGTTCATGGGGGCCCTTGATGGAGCTGGTTTCAGTATCTGTTAGGACCACAGGGAATCTGAGAACAGTAGGACTGGTTAAATGCTGGTCTGGTAGCTCTACAGTTTTGTAAGTTTGGAGCTGAGGCTACCTGAATGTAGGCACTAAAGTAGCACACTAAAAGCAGCACTTCTGGCCCCCAACCCACACTGGTGTGGCTCCCAACCATGTGGCTCTGAACTCCTGAAGAGCAGAGTTTATGCTGGGGGTGGATGGGGCTGGGAGCTGGCCATACCTGTAGTCACCAGGAGCATGGGAAAAAAGAAGAAATCACATCTTTCCCCTCAATTGCACGAATCTGCTCTGCCAGGTCTCCTTCCACTGCCAAACTGCTCACAAGATGGTCAAGTCGAGTCTGGCCAGCCATTCACCAGTTAGTCTCCCTCTCTCACCATCCCTGCTCAGCCTCTCCTCCCAGCAAGCACTCCATCCACTTCTCTAACCTTTCTTCTGAAGTACAGGATGCCAGAATTTTCATCTGTGTCTATTTTATTTGGTCTCTTGTATCTTTGTTGTATAGGGTGCATGTAGTGTGTACGCTTAGTCTACCATCTTGCCAGAAGCCCCAATATTTTGTTTATTGAACTGGGTATTAGTTCCATGAATATCTGCTTAGCAATAATCCATTGAGTTCTGAGTATTATTTTGTACACTTTTTATATCTGGGTTATACTCCACAGCAAAGAAAAAAATTGAAATATAATACCCAAAATATAATACCTATTTAATGAAGCTCAGTGAAACTGATTAAATTTATTATATGATAGGATAAACTATCCAGAAGAGTGGACAGAGAGAAATAGAAGAAAAGAAAAACAGGCAAGAGGCGTGTTTAGCTTCATGGAGTCAAATCAACATAAAGCTGATTCCCAGAAGGTAGAGATCAATCATATCACCATTTCCCATTTCTCCATCACTTCTGATACCAGCTGCCCATATGACGAACACTCTCTCTCTGACCCTAACCACCCAGAACTACATCAGACCTTACAAATGAGGAGTACACAGTCCTTGGGTTTGTTAATCCACTGAAATGAATCTCAGGTTTCTTCTGGAAGGGGCTCCATGTGCCTTTTCCCTTTGCTGCTTTTGCTTTATATTTTCACTATAATAAATAATAGCCATGAGTACAACTCTATGTTGAGTACTGTAAGTCCTATTAAGGAATCACTGAACATGAGGATGGTCATTGGTGACTCCCAGCAGATATAAAGACAGATAGATACTTCTAAAATTATGTTAACTTTTTTTAAAACAAAGAATGAATATGCTTATATAATAATTTTATCCTTATTGCTAAAAAATTATTCATACCTTGCTATGAAAATGAAACAAATAAGAAAACTATTTTTAAAATCTAAAACCATGGTTTAATCTTGATCAAAAAACCACCCATTTTTACTTACCTTTAATAGCTTGATTTCTCGCATAGCAATTTTCTTAACCATTTTGTCATCATCACTTTCTAAGAACTTCTTGATGGCCACAATTCTTCCACTATCTTTATTCCTACATTTCATCACCTGTCCATAGCTCCCTTCTCCAACCAATCCTAGGTTCTCATATTTTTCCATTTTTAATTCAAAACCAGTAGGTAATTTTCTTACTGTGGAAACTAAAACATAGAATTAACAGTGCTAAGTATTAATTTCTTCTATCCTTCCAGCAAATTCTTTCCCACTTGTTTTCCATATTTAGAGCTACCAGTGTGTTGTTGATAGCTGCCCTGCGGGGACTCACAATATCTTATTTTCTTTTCACAATTAACTATATGTTCAAAATATGTATATACATTTAATAAAAAGCAAGGCAAAAGGAATTGAAATCATTAACTATAAACTTAAATTACTAAAGTTTATATTAATGGCATTCAATGTTTTCAATGCTCAAATTATCAATACAAAATAATTATAGCTAACTTTAGAAAGGCATAGTCACTTTTCACTCAAAGCTAAAAAAGGAACAGGTGAATTTTACTTTAATTAAGATTAAATTAATTTCTTATGCTAGATATAAGATCAATATTTAAAATATGCATTTTTATGCTTAGTAAGGAAAAATATTTGTTTATAAAATTTTTACTTACAAAATTAACACTAAGAACCTTTGACTAAATAGTTTGACTTTTTAAAAAATGATAGTAATAAATTCTTATACTAAACTTAAAAAATAGCAGCAATGCCATCATAGTATATAACCAGATTTTTTAAAGAAATTAAGAATCCATATGGTAAGCATTGGACTGTGAACTACAATGTCTGTGATTCGAGCCCACGAGCCACTCCATGGGAGATGAAGCTTTCTGCTCCAGTGAAGATTTTAAAAAGACTTAAAAACCCTACATAGGGTCTCTATGAGTTGGAATCAATTCAACACCACTTAATACCAACCACTACTACTAAATACAAAAATCCTGTTAATGGCTACTTACAATAAATATGAACATTTCAAGTTTGTGTTTAAAATTCTTCCACATCCCATCATTAAGCAGCACTTTTTGGACAAAAGTAATCCTAAAAGAATCTTTCTTGATTTATTAATGATAGATGAAGGTCAAGCGATCATTCTGCTATATGTTTTTATAAGAACATGATTTCAGCCTAAATACAGATTTCAATTCATAAAGTTTGATTGCCATATTATATAAAAGCTGTTAAACTGCAACTTCAAAATTAAATTTATTCTTTAAATCTGATTTTGAAATTGAATCTCTGCAGAAAAGAATTTAAAATATTGCTGTAAATCACAAAATGGTTCTACAGGTTTGGAAGGGGAAAAAGCCAAACTCTTTTGGTACTATATACTCAAATGATGACTTATAGTCGAATTATAAAAACATTCATTCACAAAATTGGAAAAAAGAAATATTCTTGCCTGTTAACAGTGCACTTGTTACTTCTTGTTGTCAGGTGCCATCGAATCAATACCGACTTATCGCAACCCTATGCACAACAGAACAAAACACTGCCCCTTCCTGGGCCAACCTCATGATTGTTGCCATGCTTGAGCCCACTGATGCTGCCACTTTGCTAATCTATCTTGCTGGGGGTCTTCTTCCTTCTCTCTGACCCTCCACCTTACCAAAGATGAAATCCCTCTCCAGTGACTGGTCACTCCTGACAATATGTCTGAAATATGAGAGACGAAGTCTGGCTATCATGGCCTCCAAGGAGCACTCTGGCTGCACTTCTTCCAACACATATCTGTTGGTTCTTCTGGCAGCCCATGGAAATTTCAATATTCTCCTCCAACTCCATAACTCAAATGTATCAATTCTTCTACGGTCTTCCTTATTCACTGTCCAGGTTTCACATGTATATGAGGTTATTGAAAATACCATGGCTTGGGTCAGGCGCACCTTAGTCCTCAAGCTGACATCTTTGCTCTTCAACACTTTAAAAAGGTCTTGTGCAGCAGATTTGCCTAATGCAATATGTAATTTGATTCTTGACTGTTGCTTCCATGAGTGTTGATAGTTGATCCAAGAAGAATGAAGTCCTTAATAACTTCAATCTTTTCTTTGTTGATAAGAATGTTGTTTATTGGTTCAGTGGTAGGAATTTTTGTTTTCTTTAAATTGAGATGCAATCTATACCAAAGGCTGTGCTCCTTGATCTTCATCAATAAATACTTAAGTCCTCTTCACTTTCAATCAGCAAGTATGTATCATCTGCATATCGCAGGTTGTTAATGAGTCTTCCTCCAATCCTGATGCCACGTTTTTCTTCATAGACCTAGCTTCTCAGATTATTTACTCAGCATTCAGGTTGAATAACTATGGTGAAAGAATACACCCCTGTTGCACAGCTTTCTTAATTGTAACCATTCAGCGTTTCCATGTTCTGTTCAAACAACTACCTCTTGCTCCATGTACAGATTCCTCACGAGCATAATTAAGTGTTCAGGAATACTCACACTTCGCAATGTTATCCATAGCTTGTCATGATCCACACAATCAAAATCCTTTGCGTAGTCAATAAAGCAGAGGTAAACATCTTTCTGGTTTTCTCTGCTTTCAGCCAAGATCCATCGGACATCAGCAATGATATCCCTCATTCCACCTCCTCTTCTGAACCTGGCTTAAGCATCTGGAAATTCTCTGCCAATGTATGCTTGCAGTCATTTCTGTATTACCTTTAGTAAAACTTTACTTGCATGGGATATCAAAGATACTGTCTGATGACTTCCAATTTCAGTTGGATCACCTCTCTTTGGAATGGACAGAAATACAGATCTCTTCCAATAGACTGGCCTGATAGTTGTCTTCCAAATTTCTTGGCAGAGATGAGTGAGATGCCTCCTGTGCCACCTCACTTTCTTGAAAGATTTCAATTTTTATTCCATCAGTTCCTGGTGCCTTGTTCTTTACCAATTCCTTCAATGCACTTTGGACTTCTTCCTTCAGTATCATTGGCTCTTGATGATAGGCTACCTCTTGAAATGGTCGAACATCAACAATTTCCTTTTGGTATAGTGCCTCTGTGTATTCCTCCCATCTTTTTTTTTTTATTATTATTTTTTGAAGTTTTTATTGTGAATTATGTGATAGTTTACATGGGAAAACATTAGCTTTACATTCATCCTATCATATATCCCCCTGGTCACTAGCACATAGCCCCTGTCCCTCCCTGGGTCTAGAGTTCCCAGCTGCTCCATCTCGCCACATCATCATCTCTGCCTCCATGTATGGCCTCACTGCTTCTCTGGATAGGATCCCACACTCTGCTCCTCTCCCTTGATGGTCTCAGGGACCTCTGCTCCTGGACTGCAAAGTCAACCACTACCCTCCTTTTGCTACAAAACATCTACCTTTACATTTCCAATCCTCAAAGTCCAGAGCAATTATTCACTATTGAACCACAAGAGTCTTATCTTCATCTCTTTTCATTGGCCGCATACAGGCAGGTTGGAAACCAGTCAATGGGGATTCTACCTTCCTGCGTACCCTCTAGATCTAGGCTCCCTCTTGAAAGCTTGTAAGTCAGTCGCTTCTTGCTTTGTAGTCCTCCCATTCTGGGTAGCCAATGTCTAAGTTGCCCATCACTGTCTACCCTGTGTACCGAGGGGGTGTGAATGATCCTTACTGTAAAGATTTGCTCCCTCTTTTGAGCTACAACATCCATAAATATAGGTCAAGTTCATCAAATTGTATCAGATCACACTTTTTTCCCTCTTCTTCTAGTCGAGTTCTGATCATTCAGCCATTAAAGGCAGGTCAAGGGGAACTATCTGTATGGGTGTTCTATTGCATATCCCCTCACATCCTATAAGCTGGATGCTTCACTCTCCACTCTAGTCCTCTGTGGCCTTATCACTGCCTCTGAGCCCAGGAGTCCCAAGGTCTTGCCATACTTCTGCCTAACCAGGTCTCAACCCAATATCACAGGAGTCGATTAAATAAGGTCGGACTTAGCTCACATCTTCATTGCTGTTTTTCTACCACTTCCCCTTATTTGGTGACTAATGTGGTCACCAGTCAGACCACATGCCTGCTGATGTATTCCCCTTGAGTCTTAGTCTTCGAAGGGGGTTTGCCCTAAGCAGACTCGACCACTTGCCTTGATGGTTCCTGGGCAAACAACTTCCTTGTTCCTGTAGTAGTCAATCGGACGGCCATTGTTCTTTTTTATTTTTCTTGCTGGTCTTTCTTTCAAGAAGTATCTTCTGTTCTTCTAGCCACTCCAGGCTTGTCTGCTTGTCCGTTCAATTGGAGATTTTCCACCTCAGAAAACTCTGGATGGGGTTCAGGATTCCACCTATGGTCTTAGACAATGCAAAGGCTCTGCAGGAAGCCTCCTTCACTGGGCAAGTTGTAGCCCCATATTAGGTATTCCAATCATTTATAGGCTGAAGACGGACTTACAAGTTTTCTATGGTATTCCTTTTTCCCCCCTCAAGTGTCTATTTTACAATATGCAAGGAAAACCAAGACTCAAAAGACTGCCAAGAGTGAAATTAATCAGTCACAGAAGGAGAAATACTGCATAGGACCTCTACTGTACAAAACTAAGAAAAAGAACCCATACTAATGGGGGAGGGCAGACTCTTTGCTGGTTACCAGGATGTGTGGGGTGGGGTGAGGGGAGAGAGGGGAATGTCGAGCACAAGGTAGGGAATAGATACAGTATAGTTTGGGTGTTAGGAAGGGGGACAATACACAAGAAGGGGGAAGGAAATGGAAGAACAAAGCAAATGGGAGAACAATTAGGTAGGTTTACATGGGCTAAGTGGGACAGAGGTAAATAATGATGTATGCACAACCTTGAAACAACAGGGCTCTGGAATACAGGGATTGAGACATGGTTGGAATGGGCAAAAGAAGGGAAATAATGTTAAGATGCTTGGCTGTCTTTTGAAACTTGGTTTCCCTCGCATACCATTATAAAACAGACACTTGAGGAGGAGACAAAGAAATAGCCAGAAATATCGCCATAGAAAGCTTGTAAGTCTGTCTACTGCCTATAAGTAATTGGAATATTTAAAATGGGGCTACAACATGCCCAGTGAAGGAGGCTTCCTGTGGAGCCTCTGCATTACATAAGACTATAGGTGGAATCCTGAACCATATACAGAA